AACTCTGTAACCCAAGATTCCCTTATTGAAAGCCCACTGGGCTAAAGCCAGCTACTCCAGGGATAAGGAGGAAAACTGTAAGGGAAAAAAAATAGCTATAAAACCACCAATTGAATGTACTGAATGTGTTTACTTTTTCCAAGCACCCTAGAAAGCAATGTTTTCTGCCCTCGATTCAATTTACATTAGGACCCAGACAGGATGTGTGTGAATGAAGTTGAATGGGCAGTGAGTATAAGCGGGAGCCCCAAGCTGAAAAAGGCAGCGAATCTCCACAGTGTGCAGACAAGTCCCTGTTTGGTGTTATATCTTCCCCTCGAAAGCTGGCTCCTCCTGGGGTTCCCAAAGATTCCAACCCAAGGTCAGTCTTGCAGATTGAGATGGAAAACGGACCTCAGGCAAGGAGATTTAACTATCCAGCTGGTCCTGAGCCTCCTGTCCCTGACTCTCCGAGTATCTTGAGAAGCACTATTTTGGAGTATGGCCTCCAACATGAAATGTGAAAACTCAAATCTTTAATCAGAGAACTACAGCAAAGTTTTAAAACTATAAGTTATGACCCATTAATGGGTTATGAAATACTTCATAGGCTTGTGGCCAACATTTGCTAAAAAGTGGATAAAGTAGGATAGTATAGAAAATAAAATATCAAAACATACTGAACAAAACAAGTATTGTATGGTGAACTTGTTCTAGGGGTGTGTATAAATACATAAACACACACACCGTGAATACATATATGCACAAGACCTATAAATGTACAAGTGAATGCTTGATCCCCTAAGTTTGATGTTCTTTCTCTGACCAAGGAATAACTTATTTTATTACCCCAGGATGTGGTTTCCTACCTGCAAAATTGGGACAGGAATGCTCCCTAACAATGAAGTAGTTACTGTTTCCTTTAATTTCCTGTAATTACAGTGATAATTTATTGAAAATTAGCAATTCACCTTATGACCAATATCCAATAATTAATATTTTGAAAAAACAGAATATTTTTGAGTGGCAAACTTACAGTCATTTTAAAATTTTTCCTTATATTTTCCACTGTGTTTTCCATGTTATCCATAATGAGCATATGTTCCTTGTCTTTTACAATCACAAAACACTTGAATGTATCTTTTAAGCCCACTAAACCCTCAATGATCTATGCAATGAGGCGGAAACTGTTTTTACCACAAAGGCCTTCCAAGGGGAAAAAAAGCAATACTTAGAAAAAATGCAGGATGACTTCCAAGAGCAAAATATCCTTTGGTGGTTTTGTTTTGTTGATAAAGTCCATGACTATGCAGTTAGTGATTAGTGTGTGGACATTTTTTGCAGGGAAAAAAAATGTAAGTACATTCAAACTTTATCACTCCATAAATGTTCTAAGAGCCAGAAGTTGCAACAGGTTGCTGTCTGATTTGGGTTTCCCCTGGCAAGAAAGTTTTCTCCTGATGCCATTGCTGATAAAGGTGGCCACTGAAAGTTTTCTCCGGCAATTTTGAAGGAAGGATTTGCAAAGCACCAGCATGGGTCGATTTTTGCAAAATGCACTTGGACCATTTGAGTCACACCTATATTATGGACTCTAAGTAGGTTGTTTGAGGCGGGCCATAAAAGGAAAGTAAGCAAAGAAAAAAACAATCTTACCACCCACACTCCACTTCTAATGTTTTGTCTCCCAAAGTTCATGCAATTAAAGGAACTTTTATTCTTATTGCACCAATATTTTGCTACTTCACACCAAGAGTCACTCTGTTAAATGCCTTAGTCTGCACTCCGGACTGGCTGGGATGGGGTACTGACAGCAATACTGAGAGCAACAGTAATAATTATGGTTGCTAGTTCTTAAGCACAGTCTTTGCAGGAGGAACGATGCTAAGCGTTTTGCCTATGTCATCTATTTAAGTCCTCATGGACACCGATGAAGTAGACGCTCATACTATTCCCACTTCACAGATGAGGAAACTCAGGCACAGAGGGGAGGTAAGTGTGGCCCGTCATTGGGCGCCATGCTAAGGATTTTGAACCTTGAAGGTTTTAGGCAAGGAAGTATCTGTATTTTTGGAAAGAGAATTCAGGTGACCTTCATATGGTGGACTGAAGGTGAAAAACATCAAATGGGTGAAAATCAGTTGGAAGACCATCGTTTGCTCCCCATAGACACCTCAGCTCTGCAGAATGATGAACTGCCTTCCAGTCGTGCTGAGGAGTTAATGGTCTTGTGTCTTTCTACTCATTCTTCATCTCATGGCAGTTCCATTCTTCCATTTGACGCTGCCCCCCCCTCTCCCCAGCTCATTCTTACTCCACTTCCAAGGGCTATTCATAGGACAGTTCCTTTCTGAAGAATGAGCTAACAGGCCAATGGCCTGGGTGAAAGGCAGCATACAGGGAGTTGGGGGTCAGATGCATCTGCTCAGCCTCTTCCCAGCTATGGCTTTGGGAGGTTCCAGAACCTTTTTGAGACTTACCTCAACTTTGCGATGGGAATAATATTACCCATCATGCAAAGTGGGTGTGGAAATTTAGATGATACTTTGGCACTTCCAAAGCCTCTATAAATAGTGTTTTCTTAAATAGTTTGTCATCTCAGAGGCCCTCCCCCGCCTCCAAGGAGAATGAATTTTTTCGATCCCCATTTTCCCTCAGCAGACCAATCCTACCTCTATATATGGTTGCACGAGGTTGAAATGACATGAAATCACGAGCCGTCTGTAGTGTTCTCCTGCCTCAACCAGATTCTACATCCTTGCCCACAATGGTAGGCTGAATAGTGTCACCCATTCCCAGAAATTTCCCTGGAACGTGTGAAAATGTTACCTTATATGGCAAGAAAATAAAAGGACTTTGCAGATGTGTTAAGGATCTTGAGATGAGAAGATTGTCCTGGACTATCCAAGTGGGCCCAGGGTCATCACAAAGGGTCTTTTTTTTTTTTTTTTTTTTTTTCTGAGACAAGCAGGGTATAAGAAGTAGAAAGGTCAAAGGAGAGAGAGGAAATGTGACAACAGAAACAGAGGTTGGAGTGATGTAGTTTGGAGATGGAGGAAGGAGGCACCAGCCCAGAACTGCAGATGGCCTCTAGAAGCTAAGAAAGACAAGGAGACAGATTTTCCCCTAAAGCCTGCAGAAGGAATGCAGCTCTGAAGATACCCTGAGTTTAGCCTGTAAGCCTCATTTTGGACTTGTCACTTCCAGGACCGGAAGATAATAAATCGGTGTTGTTAAAGCTATGGCATTCACGGTACTTTGTTACGGAAGCAATAGGTAACTAACATGCCCATCTTGCAGCACCCTCCTTTCTCCCCCAAATATAGTAGTGTCTTCCTGAAGCATAAATGAGAGTATAACTTGCACCTCTCCTACCTTCCACAGCTGTGTAACATACAATTTTGATTTCTCTAATGTTAAGGGATTCATGGAACGGTGGTTGACTGCAAATAAAGTGTTACCGAACGTGAGACTACCAAGGGAAAAAAAAACCCATTCAGAACATTTGCAGGCTTAGAGCAACTCTCAGGGTATATAAATGGAATGGAATAAGAGCCAATTCTGTAGGTTTGCCAAATGTGGTATTCATTAAAGGTAGTAATGTGGGTATAGGAACTGTTTTTTAACATTTCACCTCAGTGAAATGTCAACATTGTCAAAGCACTAAGAAAGAGTAAAACATTTATGGGGCGCCTGTGTGGCTTAGTAGTTACACGTCTGCCTTCAGCTCAGGTCATGATCCCAGGGTCCTGGGGTCGAGTTCCACTGGGATTGGGCTCCCTGCTCAGCGGGAAGCCTGCTTCTCCCTCTCCCACTCCCCCTGCTTGTGTTCCCTCTCTCGCTGTGTCTCTCTCTGTCAAATAAATAAAAATCTTAAAAAAAAAAAAGAGTAAAATATGTGTATGTAATTCTCTGGAAATTATACACATACTTCTCTTAATATGCGTAGAGAGTCTTAGTTTCATTTTTATTAATTCTTCTAATACTGGGGTAGAGTATAAATCTTAAGGGGATAAAAGCAGAATCTGGTTTATTTATTTATTTTAAAAAGCCAGTAACCGGGTCGCCTGGGTGGCTCAGTAGGTTAAGCGGTTAAGGTCTGCCTTCCACTCAAGTCATGATCCCAGGTCATGATCTCAGGGTCCTGGGATAGAGCCAGCCTTGGACTCCCTGCTCCGTGAGGAGATTGCTTCTCCCTCTGCCTGCCACTCCCCCTGCTTGTGCTCTCTGTGTCTCTCTCTCAATTAGATAAATAAAATTTCTTAAAAGAATAAATAAAAATACAAATAAAAAGCCAGTAACTTTCTTTTTTACCAAACATTTTTTTAATTTAAATTCAATTAGCCATCATATAGTACATTAGTTTCAGGGAGAGTGTTAAATAATTCATCAGTTGGATATAACACCCAGTGCTCATCACATCACCTGCCCTCCTTAACGCCCTTCCACACCCAGTTACCCCATCCCCCCACCCACCTCCCCTCCAGCAACCCTGTTTGTTTCCAGACTCAAGAGTCTCTCATGGTTTGTCTTCCTCTCTGATTTCTTCCCATTCCGTTTTCCCTCCCTTCCCCTATGATCCTCTGTGCTGTTTCTTATATTCCACATGAGTGAAACCATCTGATAATTGTCTCTCTTTGATTTAAAAAGCCAGTAACGGTTAAGTGTGATTAATATTTACTGGCGAAGCTAATTATAACATTAATATGTAAATAAATGAAGTAACGCAGTTATGTAAATACGTATCAGCCAACGCATAACACCAAGTGAAGCAATCTTTATTAAGCCAAGCTTTCCTTCAAATTTATTTTTGCTTAAAATTCTGGAGATTTTTTAAAATGAAACTGTGACGTGAGGACGCTATTTCTTTGCTCTATTAGGAAATAGTTTGACTATACCACAAGTCGATTTATTGTATTTATTTAGAATTTGAAAGATCATAAAACCATCAGAAGATTCTTCCACAGTTAGGTTGCAAATGAAAAAACAAAAACAAAAAACATGCTCTGTCGAAAAGGTACAGAGTTAGGCAGCTAAGTAGCTAGCTCTTCAAAAGCTTCCTGATTATTTTCTCGTACAGGGGGGCATTCGGGTCCAGGCATATTTTCCTCCCATCCTTCAGCGAAGCTCTGCCAGGGAAAGAAGAGACGCGCCTTTCAGGGGTTGGTTTGAACTTGGGATTAGACAAGGGGTGACGGGGGCGCGGAGGCGGGGGGTGGGGGGGCGGGGTGAGGGGGACGCAGAGGCGGGGAAGGGAAGGCAGAGGAGGCGGGGGGAGGTGGGCGGGCGCCAGAGAGGCAAGTGGCAGGACTCACATCATCTGGGGGGTGGGGCAGTGGTCTGAGACTCCAATCACTTCCAGGTTGCTGATGTGCCTGGGACGGACTAGGGAGGTGGTCTTCATACACACGCAGCGCAGGTACTCATCTCCTCCTTCCAGGTCCACTGGGGGTTGGGTCCGGGGAAACAGCAGTGAAGGAGAGAGTGGTGACTCCGGGAACCCCCATACTTACCTTAGGGATCTTTCTCACTGCGTTTGGCTTTCATTTCCTCCCGCACAAATCCTACCTCCCTCAGAGAAGCGTTATTGACTAGATGGTGAAGCGCACCCGGCGGCAGCGCTTGGCACAGCGCCCGCACAACTAGCGAGAACTCGAAAGATGCAAGATTCTGCCCCAGGCCTAGGGGTTCCCCAACTCTCCCGCTCTGCTTCCCGGTGTCCCCCAGACGCCTTATTCAGCCCCCACCTGTGCGGAGGGCGACCCCAGCTGGCAGGAGCAGCAGCCCCAGGAGCAGCCGCCGTGCGCCCCGCCAGGGGCTGGGGGCGCGGGAACGCGCTCCGACGCTCATGTCCAGCAGGTGCCGCAGAGGCCGAGAGTGCAAGGGCAGTCGGAGCTGGGGCTTTGCGGGCCAGTGGCTCCCAAGACTCTCCAGGCCCGTTTTATCCCCAGGGTCCGAAGCTTGGGGTGGAGGATGGGGAAGCTGAGCTACTTCTGGGAAGAGCTAGGCTCTGGCCAGCCAAGATTAGGGGGGCGGAAAAAGCCTGAGGTCAGCTGTCCTGTCCACAACCGCAACCTGAATTCATATACATGCACGCGGGCACAGTTGGAAACAACCCTTGAACCTTAGGTGTATGTTGCGTTACGTGTTACGATAGAATTCTCTGCCGCGACATGTTGAAGTTTATAGGGCTGGTACCTTCAGACCTGAGACAGTTTCTGTTTCTTCCCAACTCCCAACTTTCCAAGCACGCGTACTCCCACCTGCCTTTCCTTCATTACCAGTTACACATTATCAGTTGAGTTGGGTGGCTGTGGGTGTTCAAGGTGTGTCCTTAGTAATTGTTTTCTGGCTGGTAAAAAGTTGAATGTGGTCTTTAGAGGATGACTCAGTTTTGAATTTCACCGGAATGTGGAAGGCTTCCTCAGTCTCTTGATCTCTCCTGCCCAACCAGCCTTCATCCAATATACTCTAGGGAGCAAAATCTGTTATCCTCAGCTATCCTCTTCCTCTGAGAAAAACTGTAGAAGTAATATTTGAACGCATTCCTTCTGTAAAAACTCGGTGCCTCGATGTTTCTCTGCTGGGCTGGGCCCAGAAATGAGGTGAAGAAAGAGAGTTTCCAGGCCGCCTTTCCCGAGCCAGTGCCAGTTTAAGGCAGGCTGCCGTGCCGGCCGGAGCAGTGATGCTCTCAGGAGGACACAGGGCATCCAGGAGTGGAGCGTGGAGAAGATACTGAGGAGTGGGTGGAGGGCATGCAACAGAATCCCACACAGGAAAGGTCAAGAGATCAGTATGGACCATCTTCCCTTTCCTGAAAAAGGATGACTTGGGCTCTTGATTAGGGCAAAGGATGCCCTCATCTCAAAGCCAGAGGCTTTCTGTCACACTGATTAACAGCGGTGACGGGCATCAGTAGCCCACTGCAGGGAACTAGCTGGTTCTGAACGCTCAGCAGGAACAAGACCTCTGCGGAAGTATGCAGCTTACTTCCTGGGCTTCCGAGGTTCTTTCTCTTAGGATCCCACCACTTGCTGACTAAGTCCTATTCGAATTTCTGGTGTTAGCCTAACATCACTTCCTCAGAGAGGTCTTTCCTGACGGCTACAGCTAATTGTGTTCCCTGTGGGGTTTTTGTAGCACCCTCTGCCTTTGCGATTTCTTACAGATCTTCCAAACATGCACACATGTACATTTTTTGGTAAAGACTTTATTTATTTATTTGAGACACACACACACACACACACACACACACACACGTGAGTGGGGGGAGGGGCAGAAGGAGAAGGAGATAGAATCTCAAGCAGACTCCCCGCTGAGCATGGAGCCCCACATGGGGTTCTATCCCAAGACCCTGAGATCATGACCAGAGCGAAATCAAGAGTCAATCAAGACACTCAACCGACTGAGTCACCCAGGCGCCCCGAACACATGTACATTAGACACACAGATATATATGCATGTGAGTGTGTGTATGTGTGTGTGTGTGTGTGTGTTTGAAAGTGTTTAAAATGTTTTCTCTCCCCAAATGGAAAGCTCTACGAGGTGAGACATCATAACGTTTATCATTATTCTAGCACATGGGTAGGGACTTGATATAAAGAACTATATTCTTGAAGATAGTAAATGTTGAAAATGATAATTCTGCGGCTTTGACTTATTCACGTGTTGTTTCTCTACTAAGTTAGAGCATGTGTCTATATTAACGTGTGTCCCATATGGTTGTGATGATTTGTCAGTCTATCTGCCTCTCCTGCCGGACAATGATCTCTTCAAGGACAATTCTGTGTGACTTACATTTTTTTCATATCCAGCATCCAATGCAATGACTGATACAGAATATGCTGTACCTTAGACCAGTTTATTGCATTAAAACTTGAGATCCCAAATAAGGTTAGTGGCAGAGGGAATGGATAGAAGGAATGGTTTGGGCTATGAATGGGGGCACCTTGGATTTATGCAACCTTACCCCTGGATTTCAGTATTTGCAGGAAGTAGTAAGTGGCGACTAAATGATTCTTCCTGTGCATTAAATGAAATAGTTTAACGTGTGTACACGAAAATAAAAGACATCTGCCTCTGAGGAGGTGCAGTTTAGTGGAAGAATTGTGTCATGTCTCAGGAGCTGGCACTGTTGGATTTCAGTAGGAAGCCACTAGAGAAATGAATGAGACGTCTGAGTTATTTTGAATTACTGGAGAAAAGCCAATGAAAATGACTGCAATCCCCACTTACTGCTTTGATGTATATATATATATATATATATATATATATATATATATATATATATTTGTAGTTGTTATTAACTATTACTTAATAAATGCATTTATTTTGTAGACAAACCATTTTAAGGCACTGAGCCTATGATGAGGAGATAATAAAAGGAGATCTTAATATACAAAATTTGTGGACTAAATGCTTACTACGTGAGTGTTCCCCAAAGTCCATGTGCAGGTTGGGCTTGATGAACTTACTTCTTCGCCTATAACCATCACAATATGCTACTTATGATCAGGTCCTATTTTGTGTGCCAATAACATTGTGTGATATATAATGTAATCTCTTTATTAGCAAAAGAAGAATCAAGGAAAGCAGTGTGGTGGTTAAAAGCAGAGTTTCAAATCCTCACTCTGTCACCTACTTAGTTATCTGATATTGGGGCAAATTTCCTAATCTCTTTGAACTTCAGTTTTCTTCTCTATAATGCTGGGGATGCTAATAGAATAATAAATAGTGACTAACATTTATATATGGGTCATTGTGTGACATGCACTACTTCTAGCCCTTTGAATTTATTCACTCTTAATTTTCACATCAACTCTGTGAGATAAGCAGTATTATTATCCCATTTTAGAAATGAAGAAACTAATGCATAGAGAGGTTATGCAGCCTGCCCAAAGTTACGCAGTTAGCAAGTGGTGGAACTATTTACCCAATTATTTTCTCTGCAGAGGATGTCCTCTTAGAGCTATCTTGTGAGAATTATTTAATTCATACATACAAAACACTCAATATGCCTGGTATATTAAAATTTATCCATAAGGTTTAGCTATTATTTAACAAATTAAAAATGACATAAATTATCAACTAGTGATTTTGTTTGCTAGATTGTAGAATACCGAAGTGTAAAAAAAAACCCAAAAAGGTAATTAAGGCGTTTTTCACCCAACAGTTCTGTTAAAATTAATAATATATGACAACAAAACAATAACAAATTTTGATTTCATGTTAATACTTGTGTAAGAATAGAGTGGGTGTAAATTTCAGGGATTAAGAAATACCAGAGGGAGGGGGCAGAGAACGGGCAAAATGGGTGAAGGGGGATAGGAAGTACAGGCTTCCAGTTATGGAATGAGTAGATCATGGAGATAAAAGGCACGGCATAGAGAATATAGTAAATGATGTTGTAATAATGTTGTAATGAGACAGCTACACTTCTGGTGCGCACCACATAAGGTATGGGGAAGTTTAATCACTACGCTGAAATGAACGCAACATATGTGTCAACTATATTCAAATAAAAACAATTTTAAAAAGAATGAAAGTTCTGTTGATTACAAAACAGTACTTAGAAGTCTGATAAAGTTTACATTTTTTATTTTACTCATTCACAGGGTTGGTTCTAATACTAAAATTGTAACCATGCAGATATTAAGTGAATGTAAATATATACAAACATGTCAGGTTAAAACATTTAACACTATAGAGAACCTGTATTATTATTACTATAATTATTATTATTATTGAAAATACTGGAGTTTTTAAATAGAGAATGTTAATGCTTTTCATCATATTTTTTTTAAAGGTTTATTTATTTATTTATTTGACAGAAAGAGAGAGAGAAGCAGCAGAGGGAGAGGGAGAAGCAGACTCCCGTCTGAGCAAGGAACCCAATGTGTGGTTCCATCCCAGGACTCTGGGATCATGACCTGAGCCGAAGGCAGCCACTTAACCGCCTGAGCTACCCAGGCACCCCTCATCATATGTTTTTTATTCTACTCATATTAAATATATTCTCTTTAAAATAAATAACCACTGCTTACACGACTCACTTTCTACAACTTTATTATTTTTAGGGTTTGAAGGCTAAAATAAACACTAGAAATATCTTTCACAAAATGCTTTGAAACAAGACATCCTAAGACTAAGACAATAAAAAACTCCATTAAGCGCCTGAATAAATTAGCAAACATTTCTTGAGCAAGTGCTCTATTCTGGGCTCTGTGTGATTCCGAATATCATTGACCATTATGGAATCTATTAATCATCATGGGCATAGCTAGTCTAACAGTTAGGTAGAGCCAGATAGGTTAATGCACATGTAAGTATTTGAAAGGAAAATTTTAAATAAATGAATGCAAAGCAGAGTGCCACATTTAACCAAGAGTTAGGGAATAAACCATACATTATATTTTGAAAGTAAGTTTGCTTATTGTCATCTTCTCTCTGTCATCTATTAACCAGCCTTCTCAGAATACCATGTAACTTTTTGAGGCAGAATGGAAAACATATCCAAAGTTTAACACAATACGAATGGGAATTTTGGATAAATAAGAACTCCAGAAAGTCAAGCCCTCAAACTCCTCCCATTCTTGGGAGATAAAAAGGTTTGACAAAGTGAACCAATTAAGCTGTTGACCCATGGCTTTCCAAAATTTTCTCGACTATTTTCTTGATTTTGGGAGCTTCTGGGTCCAGGCAGATTTTCTTCCCATTCTTCAGTGTGGCTCTGCAAGAGGGAATGGAGTTTTGTGTGAGTGCCCTGGCGGGACTCTCAGAAGGGATCCACGGGGCTGGATACAATAGAGTTGACGGGGAGAGAAGAGTGTTTCCCTAACGCCCAAAGAGGCAATGATTACAGAAGCAGAGACTTACATCACTTGAACGTTGGCACAATGGGGTCCTGCTCTGAGCACCTCCAAACTTTGGATGTTATTTGGATGAATGCCAGAGACGGTCTTCAAACACATGCAGTAAAGTTCAAAGAACTTCTTCCTGTCCACACTTTGAGCTAGGGTAGAAAGTGTGGCTCCATTAGCCGTTGCGATTATTGAGGAGATCTTATCTCTTGACTTGTTTCCTTAGTCTCCTTGTTTGTTAACTGTACCTCTCTCATAAAGCCACTGGGTATACGATCATCTTCAAACCTTCAGTAAAGTACCTTAGCAGAGTGCCCACGAAGCATCTCCTCGCCGCTTAGAGTTACTAGTATAATGCCCGTCCCCCGCCCCAGGAGAACCAGGGCAGGGTCCTCCTCCCTACCACCTGCCCCCCAAACTGCTGCAGGGCAGCAGACGCTCCACCCTCAGTTTTCCTGGAGTTTCTCTTACTTTCTCCTGCAGCCCAGGGAAGCAGCGTGGTCAAGAGCAGGGATAGCACTAGCAGCCCCTGTAGGACCCGGAGAGGGCTGGTGCGGGTACAGGAGGAGGCGGCATTAGGTCTGAGGCTCATGGTGGAGAAGATGAAGCTGGAGTCGTTCCTAGAGACAGGAGACCTCAGCGTGAGGGTGTATTGCTGCCTAGAAGTCTGCAGCAATGTGACTTTTCATGCCCCCCTGATGCCTTTTATACAAGCTCCCTCAAGGCCAGTAAGGAGGAAAAAGATAGGGCAGGAGAGGTGAGGGTATATGGAAATACATGTGGAAGGGTGGTCAGGCTGTGCCCAACCTAGATAAATGCCAGGCGGGTCAGAGTTCCTGCTCAAGTTCATTTTTACTTCCTTTCACACTCTCCCCCATCCTTATCTTAGTCCCCATCTCCTTTAAACAAATATAACCTCCCACTTGGAGGTAAGAACAAGACTGA